CTCCATTTTATCCTTCCCTCCCTCTCTATTTCTCTCCATTTATTCCTCCCTCCCTCTTTTTTCCCCTTCCCCCTTTCCTTCCCCTCTTTTTTCTTGTCCCTTTTGTTTTCCAGGAAAGCAACGCTTCTGGTTAATAACCTTTTGGCCATAATCGCGGCCGCCTTGGTCATCGCCACCAAACCGAGACATGCCCACGAACTTCTGATCTGTTCGCGCTTCTTTGTGGGAGTCTGCGCCGGTGAGCGACAGTGCCGGCGTGGCGGGGTGTGTGTGGAACCCCCCTTCCCCCCAAAAGCTCTCTTCAGCCGCACTCGCTCTGCCAGCCCCACCCAAGGTCTCTCTGTCCCCACAGCAAAGCCAGGAACCTCCTTCGATGGCCACGTCAAAATGGTGAGGGGGTCCTTCTCTTGCTTCTCCAAACAGGGATTGCTTTCAGTGTGGTCCCCTTGTACCTGGCCGAGATCGCCCCCCAAAATCTGCGTGGGGCGCTCTGCACAGTGGCCGACCTTTCAATCACCTTTGGCAGTCTGTTGGCAGAAGTCATTGGCTTCTGCGAAGTCCTTGGGACCGAAGAAGGTAAGGGAGAAAGGAAACCTATCTTAAATTGGGGCGATTCTGGCCTGGGAGGGTCAGCGATCCTGAGCTACGACATCTTCTTCAGGTTGGCCCGTCTTGTTAAGCCTTACTGGCATCCCGGCGTTGCTCCAATTACTGTTCCTCCCGTTTTTCCCCGAGAGTCCTCGTTTTCTCCTGATTCAGAAGAAGGAGGAAGAAGAAGCCAGACAGGGTAATGATGGACTGATGGATGGATGGATTGGCTGATTCATTATTGATTGGGTCAAGTTCTTCTCAAACCCAGTTTTGACTTCCCTGAGGCTTCCTGAGACCGTAATTAAGCACAGGCTTAGTCCAAACACCTCTTGTTTTATTTCAACACTGGGAATTATGTTCATTCCCAGCCAGTAATGAGTCCCAAACAGTCCCCTGAGATAAGCACCCACCTTTCTCTCCTTTGAATTGCTGCCAACAACTAAAGGGCCAAATTCACTGTAACAAGCCAAAACGAAGTACAAAGTCCACACAGACCTTCAAGATTAAATACAAACAGAGGGAACAACTTTGCTTCCTGCAAAGGTTTCTCTACCTTTGCACCTCCTTTATACCTGATGGGAGGGGCAATCACCTCCCAGCCTTACTCCCGAGTTGCCCCTTTTGTCTCAGCTGCTCTTGCCTTCTAGCAGCTCTGCGCATACGCGCACTGGGAACAGGCTCCCTTTGTTCCTCTGCCTCGCTGCTACCAGACTCCAGAGGCTCCGGAGTCAGCACTCCACTCTCAGATGCTCCTGGCCCCATCTCTGCATCGAACTCAGGACCCTCATCCAAGTCCTCCCCAGACTCCCAGACTCCCCCACTGAAAGGTTCTATGTGCCAGTTCTGGCATGTGTGCCCTAGGTTCACCATCATGGCTCCAGAGGGTGTGTTTTCTTGTCCTCCTCTCTCAATGAATTCTGGGCCTCCTCCTCCTCCTCCTCCTCCTCCTCCTCCTCCTCCTCCTCC